CTGATACATCATTTGTGGCAGAAACAGGTTGTAAGCTCCTTTATTTCTCCTGCTTGGGGCCGGATTTTTCCCATCTCATTCCCTGAGAGATCATTACTCCTTGACTAAAGCAATGAAAACCACAGTGGCCCTCACTTCTTCAGGTGACTGTGCCAGGAATAATTTCGATCTTTTTAATTTTCAGGGATTTCAGGAAGTTCAGACAGCAAGGCTGAGAAACATGATGATAATGGAGATAAGGTAAAATTTCCTCCAAGTTTCAAGAGTGTTTAACTAGAAGCTGAAAGAACAGCAGGGCATGCTAGTGATTTTCAATGTATTAATAGTAAAGGGACAGTGTTTGCAACAGTAGCTTGTACTTTTGTTTAGAAGCTCAGGAACCACCTTTTCATCTCTCCAGTGGATAGAGCCAAAGCCTGCGACCATCCCATCTGGCTTGGACACTTCAGAAAAACCTCATTTCTCTGACACCCCTGTAAGAGAGGCAGAGGTAGCATCCTCAGGGTGCTGTCTCTAAGAGAAGGGTGAGGGTCTACTTTAGACACCATATTGAGAAGTTCATAGTAAGTGGGGTGAATCTAGGATCAAACACTTCAGACTATTTATTAAACACTTAACAGATAATTCATGTTGTTTATCGTGATCAACGTGATGTGTCTTCACCATACTTTGTACAAGCAAGCTCAGAAAAGCATTTCAAACTCCAGCCCAATGCAGATATTTCAGAGCTCTTAGCCACTAGGGCAACCCACTCCCACGTGAATAGGTCTGAAGCAAACATGCTTCTAAAGGCTTTTCAGTATTTCTCTTCTCCCTTCCAGTTTCCCAGCTATGTCATTCTCATTGCCTGTCTCATAGCGGTGTCCATTCTTTTCATATTGATACCCTCATTGCTGTTTTGGAAACGTAAGTATCCCTAAGCACATAATTGATTCGTGTTTCTTATGCTGGCCTAGTGCAGGTGTCCTTCTGTATCTCTGATTAATCTGCTGGTAAATCTGCCATGGCCCCTGTGACAGCACTCTGTTCATTTTATGGGGTTTGCTGTCCTTACTCCAGAACTGCGTCACCACGAGGAGACCAGGGAGCATGAGTTGGTGGGGATGCAGCAGGAGGAAGCCTGTGCAAAGAACCTGTTCACTCACTTGTTGCAGGTCTGGCTCTTCTTGTTGGTTCTCGTATTATAGTAAAGTGGTCCCATAGACTCCTGGAATTGCTCCTGACAGATGTTGATGTAACTTAAATCAGAATGAGATCCTTTCCTGCTCAGCCCACAGAAATTTTGCAACTTGCTATCTTTGCTTCCAAACTTGCTCGACTGATTCATTAGAATTACAGATTTCTTTTTGCCATTGTGACATTAATATTATTTTGCTTCTAGGTAAACACACAAAGAAGTTTATAATAAAAAGGTAATTAATTTTTAATTTCCTATTAAAAGTTCCAATGTAATTTTTCATAGAGGCAGGAAGGTATCTGCCACTGATGGTAATGGGTGTAGTATTGGCTTGTGGTGCTGACTACCGAAGTCGTATTATGAGCAAGCTTCAGATAACTTCACCTCAGAACATCAAACAGTTGTTTCCCAGATGCTGCTGCTATGTAGCTATGAACAGACATCCAGAGCACTGGAGAACTTCAACAACTGGTACTTGCTGTTATGTAGTGACTCCGCTTAAGGAAGTACCTAATCTGCTGTATTCTTTGATCAAACACCAGGGCATGACCCTGGTGGGGTTATTTTAAAGAAATGAAGAGTTAAATGGTGATGATGATCAGCTGGCAAATGGTTGCTCGGAAAGAGATCAGGGATTTATGAACAGTCCTCCCTGGAGTGGCAATTCATGTCAATACACTCAGAGTGGGCCTCATGAAGGGCACACTGCAGCGGTGTGGTAAACCCAGCTTTCCACCACTAGATAAATCTTGCAGCTCTCATGGGGCCACTGCACTCTCTTACACAGAAGTATCTGAGATGATCACTGAGGTGATCGTTTTGAGGCAGATATGAAATGTGGAAGTATGATGAGTCACCCTGTGCAGGTGTAATAACTGATAAGTTCAAGTCTTCTGGCTTATCTTGAAAAAAGGATTTTCTCTAGACAAATCACAAGGTAGTCCCTTTGCCAAAGACCAGTAATTTTTCAATGGTACATGGTGCCCCACTGCATACCCCACCTAGGAGATAAGGACTGGGGGCCAAGAAGGGACTTTTTTCCGAATCCAATGATGCTTACCTCACAGCTGTGATGGTAAGATCTGAACAGCCCTTTCCTGTCCATTAGAATAATGCAAGCAAGGTAAATACTTCTCTGGTGTAAAAAAGTGTGTGTGGCACCACTGAAGTCAGTGGACTCGGTAGTTCTGGTATCCATTTCAATGGGAATTTACTGACATCACAATTCAGACAGGATGCTCTGAAGCAGCAATGTGCTTTTGCCCCATCCATAGTGATCTGTGCTTCTCACTACAGCCTTGGACCAGAGGAACACCTTGAAAAAGTTTTCAGTGGCGCTGAAGGAGAAAACAGCTTTTTTTCCCTGTGAAGAGCTCCTACATCATCTGTAGATGCCACAGAAAACAGAAAGGGTCTGTTTCATGCTGCACTGATAGATGCTTATGAGCCCTCAAAATATCAACGGGTGTAAACAAAAGGCCAAAGCTTCAACTGTGAAAATTTAAAATCTTTGTGCAAATTTTGCCATGTCACCTTTAAAACTCATTGCATGAAGAAGCTTCTTTGAGAAGGTGCTTTATGCATTATTCATAGGTGTTTCTGGAATCTGCCTTCTTACTAATACCATGTTACAGAATTGAATTTATTTTTCTCCGTTTTCACTAATGCTCTTCCTTGAATACAACTTACACTGTAAGGAACAGAAGAGAGAAGAAATAACATGGAATGCTGCCTAACTTCAAATTACTGAAAAAAAAGAAAAAAATCAGCAAGTATGGTTCTTATTGCTTTTATATAATCAAGAGAAGAATTAAGCCACAAGAATTCTGCGAGTATAAATCAAAAATGCAGATTACTTAAGGGGTACCAATGCTGCCTGTGATTCAGCGTGTTTGAATGACCCTTGGAGACTATGTTAATAAACTTTGTAATTTACTGCTAGCAATTGTACTTTTTATGCCAAATCCTAAGGCATTTGAACGGGAGTTAGTTATTCCCCAGGTGTTGAAATGACTGGTGCGCTGTCTCAGCTCTCCAAAGAAGTACTGCAGCATTTCCAGAGGTGGGAAAATGCCCAGAAGTCCGACCTGCGGGGAAATGTTTCTATTGTGCTCCCACAAACCCCCATACTACTCATTTGTAGATCCATATCTCCCCCATCAATGTCCGTAGGGGATCCCCAGGCATTTGTTTGGAGTTGCCTTTTGCTTTTCATGATAATGACCTGCAAAAACCAGCAGCTCTCGTGGTGGAGTCTGCTTGGCAATGCAGACCTGCACCGTGTAACCCCAGGGTGTTTCATTTAGGGCCCCAGCACCCAGACACATGTTAGCATAGTGTGTCTGGCTGGGTTTTGTATAGATGAGACTGGGGTGCCCAGTCCCACCAGTGCTGCCCAGTTATCTTTTAGAGAAGCTGCAGATGAGGAGCACAATGCAGAGCACAGCCACATCTTGGAAACCTGGCTGTCCCTTCAGATGCCCATGGGAGGTGGCTGAAGCCACCTCAGTGTTTCTGAGCAGCATTGGCAAAAATCATGTGGCCTCCATTGAAAGGCTCTGGGACACTAAAAACAGCGAAGAACAAGATATGAAGAGTGACATTCATCTTCTGGTGCTTCTAGTGGGACAGAAGGGCTGTGAAGGACAACATTGTGGCTGCTGGGGACAGAATTTGTCTCCAGCTCTTCTCTGCAGCAACAAGCTGCCTCACACTCCTACCCCAACCTCAGGAGCACCAACCAGCAGGACCTGCCAGCCCTGTCCCTAGGATTTTGGCGTTGCAGAGCTGGCGAGCAGGCTGTGGCTGTTTAGCTGCTCAGACATATCTCTGTGTTGTGCTTAGAGCTGACCCTGAGGATTGGGATAGTTTGGACACTGAACTGCATGGGGACATGTGTGGTTAGCACAGGGGGAAAGCCCAGCTTCATGCTGTGGACCTTGGCTTGGCCCTGGGGTGCCGGAGCGGGAGGCAGGGCTGCCGGCAGCACAGAGCAGCCCAGGGAAGTCCAAAATCATCCCTGTTATCCTCAAGCCCTGTAAATGCTGCCATAACGATAGCTCTGCAGCACTAACCTTGTCTTCTACTCAGCTGGGACAGCTGGAGCCTTCAAGTGGCTGCAGGGCAACTCGTGGCAGAGCAAAGCCCATCGTTTTGCCATGCTAATTACACCCTTTCTGAGGGGCTTTTCTTTGTGTTTCAGCTGGGTTGAGATTTAGGCTTTAAAAACCAGACTGAGTTGGTGACAGCCTGGAGGCTTTAGTGAAGCATGTCTGGCCATGGAAGCTGGGAGATCATCCATGGGACACACTGCAGAGCTTTCGTCTGTGTCATTGGGGTCCTCTCCAACTCTGCTGCAGTGACTATGGGAACGGCATGGGAGAAGGTTCAAATCCACGACACTGTTTGCTATCTCCATTGCCTGGAGTTCACCAGTCCCTGCTACAGCAATTCTGGTCAATGACCACTTGAAGTAGGAGCACGTTGTGGGAATAGCATTTGAGCAGAAGAAAACATTATATGGCAACTCTGGACTTCCCCGCTGGTCATGCTCAGGGCAGCAGGGAGACTTTTTTGGCTCTGCAGCACCTTCTCACAGGCCACGAGTTAAGGGGAGGTTCTGCTTTGGGGTCCCTCTCAATCTCGCCTGGGTTCAAGAGAGTCCCAGAGCAGAGGATGTGGCCCATGGGCTCCCCGGTTGGGTTTGCTCAGCCGTGACCTGTGTCTGTCCCACGCTGGTTAACGCGGCTGCCACCATCCCAACGCACAGCACGTGCTGAACCCAGCAGCCTGGCGCCTGGCACCACTTCTACGCACGAGTCCATACAAATCTGTAAAAAATAAAAGGGGAAAAAACGCAACTGTTTTGATATACTCCTTTAAAAAAAAAAAAGGCACTTCCCCATCTCCAAGTAAACCTGCTAATTAAGCCACTAATATCTTCATTGCAACCTCCAATTGGCAGGGCTGGGCCAATCGTTTTGCTCTTATTAATTAGCTCTGCACTAATGACTTCTTTATAGCAGGGCTGGCTCTGGTTGGGGAAGGTTCTAGGATGGTTGCTGTGGTGCTGGTTGAACCTGAAGGCCCTGCTTTGGGGAGCTGCACAAGGGCAGAAGAAACAGGAGCCAACAAAGTGAGTTTGATTGGATTAGCCATGTGGAAATGCAGCCCAGAAATGCTGTAGGGAAGCTGTAAGTGTAGCTTATGTCACTGAGCATTTTTATTTATCTTTTTATCCACCCCAATTACTGAGGCTGAGGTTTGGGTTTAGAGTGGCAATTGGAGGCAAGGAATCTGAGAGAGTTATGTTTAAATGGAAATACATTTGAAGTAATTTCTGAGGAACTGACCCTGGCTGTCAGTATGTTCAGTGAAAGGTTAAAGGGAGCCTTTTAAAATGTAGCTGGAGGAAAAAAGAGATGCTGTTTTCCAAAAGCAACAGAAGCCTTAGAATGCAGTTTCTGTGTCTGGTGAAGAAAAAAATATATGAAAGCAGCAGGTTTTTAGAAAGAAAAGACTGTCAGAGAGTATGTCATTGGCATCTGGAAATGTTAGTCTTTATTTTTAAGACTTTTATCTTGGAAGGCAAAGAAGAAATGCACTTGAGTAAACATAAAGCGCTGCAGCCAAGAAAACCTTCTGTAAGCAGCTTAAATCAATCCATAGGGTTTGAGCTGCAAAGCCCTCCTGGGGCCGGTGCTTCAGGCCGGGAAAGCTTTGACAAAAGGCACCGGGCAGCACTGAGGGGCTCGCGCTGCTGTGTCGTGGGGTGCAGCTTTTCCTGAGCGCTGCTTTGCTGCATCTTGTTGCTGCTGGTGGAACTGGCAGAAGCAGGTCTCCCTGCAAAGTCTGCCCATGTGCACCTCCACCCCGACCTCCCGCACCTCCCAGAGAGCTAAGATGAGCACAGCCATTTGCTTTACAGCTACCACGTATTTCCCAAAAAATTCCAGTCCCTCCCAGATGTCGCCTCCTGCCACCTCTCAGCTGCCAAGTGCTAACACCTGGAATCAGCTGGGTTTAACGCCTCTCCCCAGTGCTGTGAGCTGCTGAAGTTATTGCAGTGTTTGTGCTGGGTTTTAATTTGTACGGAGTCCATGTCGAGCCTAAATGGTGTTATATCTGGGGACTCTGGCTCTGCTTCGTGGAGAGAGGTGGTTAATTAATGAAGGATTTAGCTTTTGGTCCAAGTAATAGTATTCACTGGGCCCCAGTACTTTGTGGACAATTGTCTGTATCAAAATGACTGATTAAATTGGTAAAGGAGGTCTGACGTGAAGAGATAATGACTGAACTACTCGATTAGTATGGAGGAGGTATGGAAAAGCAATTAAGAAGAGACATCTGAATATTTTGGGATATGGGATTGGCTAATGAGAAAACAGGAGGAAATACTAAAAAAAGGCAAGTACTGAGTTAGGAATACAAATCCTTTAAAGAGAAACCAGAGGAATGGATTAAATATCATTTTGAGATTAATAAGAGACCTCTCTTAATAGACTTTATTGGAGCTGACTGCTCTGATGGTCCCTTTCCACCTCAGCAGCACATTTCATTATGTTTCCAGGTTTGTTTCTTAGCCTTAATGTGCTTTTCTAGGCATTTTTTAAGGTTAATAAAAATAAATCTCTGGGTTCCAAAGGTGGAATCTAATTGGAGCTTAAGAAAAAGCAAGCAGAAGGGAAGAATGTGGCTGAGTATATAGGAAATTAGAAATAAGAATAAATAGCATCATGGGACTTGGGGAAAGAACAGAGATAACCGCACAGTGTGAGATGAATGCATGAAAAAGTGGAAAATTTTAGCCTGGCAGAAAGAGGAAATGGGACGTGCTGCCGCAGACATGACAGCAGATGGCAAAATTGAGCTACAGAGACAGAGCAGAGAAACGGGTTGTGAGATGAGAAGAGTCTGTAACAGTGATGCAGATCGGCTGCCCCCAAGCAGAATAAATGCAGCCTCCTCCAGTCGGGATGGAGGTCCTGGCCGGCAGCTGAGCCCATGGCTGGCTCCAAGGCTCGCTTTCGGCGTGCCTGACCTGGGCTCCAGCTTAAGCGTCCTCTAGCAGTACAATCTCCTGCAAGTCTCGGTAGTACCCTGGTTTTCTTGTGCTCCCGAGGCCACAGTGGCTATGCACTTCTTGGTTTCCTCTTCCCACTGATGTCTAACCCCAGCTGGGAGCAGCATGGCTTTGGTTTCTCTTGCTAATTTAAATTATAAACCCCCAAAACTTGGCACATCCTGTGATCACACTGGGGCAGCAGTGACTTGGCAAAAGAAATGCCTCTAACCATCCCATAGTTTGTCTCAGCATCCACTCCCTCCTGCTATCAAACTCATGAGAAAGGGTAGTGGTCGTGGCAAGGG